CTATTTTCAAAATTGGAAACACTGCGGCGGATGCTATCTCCGCAGCTCAAGACGACCTCGACAGCCTTATCCTTCTCGCAAGAGAACACAGGATCGATTTTGACCTAGCAAAGTCAGAACTTCTAGTAACCGGAGGAGGGCCTAGAAAGAAAATTGTCGGAATACTCGAGTGGTATTATATCACAAGTTTTCTATAGCAGTAATAACAATTGGTGGTTAACATATATCTTCTAATTCTTCACTTCTAACCAAAAGAAACACGTATATACAGCAGTTGTCTCTCTCTCCTGACGCCATTCCTAAACAGGTGTTATGAATCTACTTATTGGCAGATTATCGAAGCTGTTAAGCTGCAGAGGTCGAGTCGATTTCGACGAAGACAAATTATCGAAGGTTCGAGGTTACAAAGTTACGAAGGTCGAAGGTGCAAAGGTCGAAGGTGCAAATGTCAAATGTGCGAAGGTACAAATGAAGGTAATTGAGGCTCGGATTGTCAAAGTTACGAATTCATATGTTCAAATTATCATATTATCAAAATATCGAGTTCCCAATAAGCAAATTATACAATAAACAGAAAAGAAACAAAATTGTTAGAACTAAAGAACAAATCCAAATGTCCAGTATGAAAAAATCCAATCCCGTAGCCTCAGACCTAACCGAATTAAGAAGATAACCCCTGCATCACCACATCCAGACTAAATATAACAAATTCATAACAACAGGTAACTCATTATTCATCAACATAATTAGTCATCATTTCTAAGATAATACATGAAAGGTCATTAAGTCATTAAGTCATTCGACAAAAATCAATGCGGCTGAAATTTCCATCTTAGTGAAAGATCGCCGGATCGAACCGTCACCTCATATCCGGTGGCTAGGAGTCTGGCTTGATACGCAGCTAAACTTCAAGCAACATGTACAGGAATGGACTGGAAAAGCTAATCGTCTAATCCATTTCTTACGACATATAAACGGAGTCCAACGTGGGGCAGCACCCGGACCTCTGATTCGTGCAGTACATGCATGTGTTTTGAGCACAGCTCTATATGGGGCAGAAGCGTGGTGGCCGGGTCTTACTCGAATAACCACACTGCGAGATAGAGAATTCGGCACTGGATTAGGCTGGCATATATCTCTACTGGAAAAACGATGATGAAAGCTATCAGAGTAGCACTCCCAGCGTGGCGTAGCACTCCCAATGGCGCTCTTTATCGTGAAGCTGGAATACCCCCAGCATCGATAATTCTTCAGCAAAAGATGCTGCGGTCGGCAGCTCGTATGCGAAGAATGGATATCTGGCACCCTCTAGCCCTTCGGGCGGCTGAGGATCCGAAAGAGACAATAAGACGCTTAGGTCTTAGATCAGGACAAAGAGATCGTTTGTTCAGACGACCAAAACGGTACATGACACGCCTACAAATGAGTGTTCGTCTAGTTCCGACAGCCGAAGGCCCCGGAAAGCTATACTTCCCACGTGGCACTCCAGCATCGACTCCATGTGGTCGAGAAAATGAAGCTAGCTCTAGAAGCATAAAGCGGTGGTTAGCTTCCCGTCCAGCTAATACAATCTTCGCTTTCTCTGATGGATCATCATCGGGTCCTGGAAAATCATCCTGGGGGCTTGTAGTATACCAAGGAGGCAAGCTAGTTGCAAGTGGCTCCGGTCCACTTCCCGGAGCAGAGGTATTCGACGCAGAAGTTGTAGGTGCCATGAAAGCGTTGAAGGCTGCAATAGATGTAGGAGAAGACTTACTGATCTACATTCTTCTGGACAACCAAGCGGCCACGCAGGCGCTCGAAAGAGAAAGATCTAACTCCTCGCAACCGGTGGTGGACAAGTTTTCATCGCTGAGACACAATAAGCGTGTGGAAATACGCTGGATACCCGGGCATGTGGGGATTCAAGGCAATGAAGAGGCCGATAAGCTGGCCAAATCAGCCTTGGGAGCTCCCAATAACCGGTGAGTAATCTCAGCTACGCCCATTCTAGAAGATCAAGATCTAAAATTTGCGGCATTAGGGAGGTGGGTTAAATAGCGCAGCCAAGAACTCGTGGAAGAGTGGTGGCAGAAGTATCGGCCGAAACGATACAAAGATCTGGACCTATTCATGCGCTGCAAAAGACCACCAGAACTAGCTTTACCAAGATGGGCGTACCATCGTCTCATTGCGGCAAGAACAGGCCACGGGGACTACGCCGACTACCATCGACGTTTCAACCCCGAACATGAAGATCTGAAATTCGTTTGCGACCGAGAGACAAGGCCCTGGCATTTTTCAGAGTGCCGACCTGCTTTGCTACGTTGGAGAAGTTATGAGAAAATGGCCCCACCTGGGGCCAGGGAAATGATAGGGGAGAAGGGATGGCAGAAGTTCATTCAATTCTTAACTACAAGCCGATGTTACAGTCTGCCGAAGAATGAACAGGGTGGGAGGTGACCACGCTGAGTTGTTTCTGACCCGAGAGGAGATGGGTATGGAGGATAGGGATGCGGCGCAGGGCACCGTAACTCAGACATATACTTTTCATTTGTTTTCATTCTTTTCTTTTGTCGCTTCTGGCTCCACTGCCGGTCATGTAGGTAGCAATGAGCTCTCAGAGCCCATCTACCCGTGTCACGTCTAAATAGATGTTAGGTTCTTCCTGTCACGTAAAAGATTTCAAATTCAAATTCAATTGATATTATCGCCGGCAAAGTCGAATTCTTCACCTTCCAGTGGTGCCGATGTAATCGCTCAGTATGCTCTGCATATCTAGGATAGCCAAAAAGAATCGCATCCTTCGCAACGGCAGCTTGCTGAGCGTGGCCCGGTCGACGAGGGCAAGACTGAACACCTGTATGCGGTGCCTTCTACGAACCTAGGAGTGAAATATTATCCCAGAGCCAAGTTCAGTCAAATTTCGCAATACTGAACAAGTTGGCCCACGAGGCAATGATTCAAAATACTCCACCACGTTAAATCTCCACGCACAACGAGTTCGGTTCCGATCTTTGTCTCATCAAGACTACAAGTACGACCTGGTACACTCTCATTCCAATCACCACACCTCCTATCGACTTTCTCTGGCCTCAGCTGGTCGCCAGATACACGCCCACGCCGATATTTATATCCGACGGAGGAAGCAAAGCGTGGCGGATAAATCTGGGGGCCAGTTGTTTGGGGTGGACGTAAGAGGGAGAAGGACAAATTCACAAAATAATGCAAAGGAAAGATATAACTTCAATGTGCGTGAATTTTGGCAAGGGTTTTACGAATTGGGCATTGTGTGCGTCAAGACTTCTCTCGCAAGAGTGCAGCTGACACTATAAAAACAAGCCGACGATGGAAGGTGTTGTGGTCCGCCTCCTGGTGGTGTTCTCTGGTATGGTTTGAGTAGCCTGGGCACCTACTCGACTTGGGAAGGATACGCTTCAGACCACATTTCACGGGAAGAAAATTCAGCAGATGACGGAGGCATGTCTGGGTAACTGAGGGTTTTGGAGACGTTCCCCTGGGTGAGTATTCAAGGATGGGGGTTGACTTGGGGTGAAGAGAAAGCCGCTGCAACTTCGCAGTGGTACTTGCGAATGAGATTCGAGGCATGAGTGCTCTTCTTGTACATTGAGTCATCTGTTCTGTAACTTTTTTCCGATATTTTATCATAGCTAGATAGTTGCATACGCAATTAAAATCTGATGCAAAAAAAAAGAACTAGGGAAATGAAAGTGCAAAATATCTAGTCTAGGTGTCCTGCGCCTCACCTGAATCCCTAATGGGATCCAACAAGAATTTCATTTGTACTGCAATACCTAGACTTGCGCCAACCGTTCTCTAAATAACTAACGTCGAAACTCACAAATCCATTGACCCAAGTAAACGTGCATAATCTTATTCTTAAAACAACAGTGGCTGTTGGTAAAACACGAAATAATACAAATTGGGTGCCGTCACAAAGTCAGCTGTCCGTCACGAAGTCGGTGAATAATGACAATTAAGTGGTATCTCTAAATACATAAAACGCTGTCTCCCCTTTCTCCCTCTACTCCAAGTGCCTCGCTAATGAGCAAGGTCGGATCCCTGTCAGTGTCCTAACGACAATCTGAATACCACAATTAGATAGAACAATTCATACTGCCCAAAAATGATCCTTTTACCGACAGTGGCATTATCCAAAACCTTAGTTTGGCGTTCACAAGTACCGCGAAGTCGAAAACCTCTCAAACATGACAGACCCAGTTTGCCCATTGATGAGCTCTTCACTTTCTTATTCGACTCTCCAACTGTCTTTCATCCCTAATACTGTATAGCCCCATTCAAACAAAGATCCACCATAAACCAAGACCTGACCTTTCTATATTATGACTTGATTTTCTCCTCGCAAGTATACATAACATCGTAACTTTACAGTGAGAAATTGCTGATTTTTGACAAAACTGTGTCCCGTCTGCAATTTTTGCGACTTTTTAACCTGTAGTTGAGGTGACTGGGTTTGTGTTCAGATGAAATTGGAAGACTTGCGTGAGAAGGGAAGGTACAATATTAATAAGAAGTCATAGTTTTTATATATGCTGATGCTCGCTTTCCATTTTGATTCGGGAGCGATTCTTCTTGCATAGCCCAGTCATATGAAGAGTACTGAGCGTTAGACCTATATCGTTGGAATATAATGAATTCACTTACGCCGGCGGCACATTGAAGCATAGTAGTACCACAAATCATCGCTCTCGATAATCTTGACTTACAAGATTTTCCCCCACGAATTGAAGGTTCTGCCATACATATTAATTTTTCAAACCCGGCAACAAGACATCCACGGCATCTGAGAGCTATGAAGTTGGCTGCCAAAGTCGGAACACGACGTAAGCGTTAAAATTAACGCTATTCCTGCTTTAGGACACATGAATCATTAAAATTAGCTTGGCATATTGAGGAGAATTCCAGCAAAGATAAATAATTCTTCATAATGCCATGTTTTGAATCTTTCCTCTCTCAATCAGCGGCTTAAATTCTCGAGGATGAGAAAACGACATTTCTACTGCGCTGCCGTCCTACTCAATATTTGTTTACATTCTCATTCTACCAATGTGTACCCAGTTCCTCGAAAAGCTGAATATCTCGATGAAGTAATCAGTGATTATCTTTGCGAAACTACGTACTTTGAAAGCAAAATAGTAATGAATAGTTACCGGACAGGATGTCATAGATTGTGGAACGCCGATTCAAATAAGAAATTTCCGGCCAAATTGGAAGATAACCATTTCGTCAACGGAGCACATAGAACTTTATTCTCATGGCCATTGAATCATGCTACGGATAGTTCAGACATAAGTTAGTAATTTCCTCTAAATTCGGCCTCGCCCTGGAAAAAGATACGGGACATACAAAGAAAATTGGTCGCATGTGTGCAGAATTACTAATTGAGACTAACTTTTGTCGGTCCAGGGTTTACTGGGATTTATCGGACTGTTTTTGACATAAATTGTAGATTTCATGGCGTGGTGATACGTCGAGAAAACAACCATGAAGATTGCATTAAATTTTTAGATCGAAAAGAATTTGATAATTTTGGTATGAAACTTGAGGAGTACGAAATCCACAAATGTGACCGAGCAGTCTTCGGAGAAACTTATCTCAAAGCCTCCATCAAAGTAGCTTGTGAAGCAAGTCTAAATCCACGCTCCAATAGATACCCCTTAGTACATGCAGAATCGCCGTCAAAAATTATCACTTACAGATGGCCTCTGCGTCAGAATGATAAAATTCATGAATCGCACCGTATGTATTTCGATATCCATGAGTAATCTTGGTTTTAACCTTTAGAAGGGGGGTCAGATTACCATTTCAGATATTTTGTCTTGTATACGCATGAAGGTGGTCCTGTGCGCGTTATTGAAAATGGTAGAATCTCATGGCAGACATGCCCATCAGAAAAAAAGATTATTCCCCCTAGTACGTACGAGTCTAATATCATCGGCGCCCTAGAAGGTATAGTCTATGAAGACAAGAAAAGCTATGAATGCAGTGGTCAGGTATTCACGGATAAATACATACAGGAAGTCTTTTCAAAAATAAAGACCGAGCTACAGGATTGGAGTAACAACCCGACAAGGAGAGATAAATATCCTCAACTGAAGCACATAGGTCAAGAAAACGCTGTAGACATGGTCTGGATGTGGTACCTTCGTATTCGAGAAGCAGACTTTATGAGTATATTTGGACCACCTTTTTTCTTGGCTTTTGCTAATCTCGAAGGGTCAGAATCCAATGAAAGATACGTACTAGCAGTGGATAGAAATCTTGAAAGCTTTAACGTTTTTTATGTTGAGGACCGCAAATACACCGTATGTGTAACGAGATACAAATAGGCCGCATCTTTTCCAGAATATTCACCTTACAACCCTGAGTTCAACATAGAGTTTACTGATTGCAGACAATGCCGATACTTCGCAGAGTGGCGGTGTGAAAAACGCCGGTCAGACCAAACATTATGGAGAATCCTACACGAGGATTCAGATACTTATGAGAAGATTAGATTAGAAATCTTTGGTCGATATTAATGAAGGGCGGTAGAATATAAGATATTATAAACTTATTATCTTCAATTTAATGGTTGGTATTACACAGAGGAGGTTGTGATGCATTTGGGTGATGTGGCAATAATTTATGAGGGATGCGAAAGTTATCCTGTGGAGATCTCTTAATGCACATTAAAAGTTACATATTTATGTACAAGATAATTTTTTACTTTGTGTTAGAGTATAGAGAAGACTTCGGAGTAAGAATTGCCTGAGAACGGAGAAGAAGTTCAGTTTGCTTAATTTACTAATAGACTACAGGTATTATGATATATACAGTGGAATTATAAGAAATAGAGGTTACCCGGAACCGACTCGACTGCATAAATAAGTGGGACCCCGTACCAGAAAATAATTATCCACTGACTGAGAATACTGGGTCACGCAATAGAAGTACGAACAAACCAATGACTGGATTTGTTCGGGAAGAATGGGATTCAAGCAGACTCTAACGTTGAGTCCGATTGGATCAGAAATGTGGGATCCTGCCCGAACTCAGAAATATAGTTCAGGCAAGATGCATGCAACCACATTGGTCGATAGAAAGAAAAGCAGGAAACTGTATTTCCAACACTTTGTAAGATCTTTTCTTTTTTTAAATCATTTAATGTGTATTCAGCTATCTAGCTATGACAAATGACCGGTGCTATGTACACATGTGGGATGACTCTTTTGACGTTGGAGACACTCGTACTCTGGATTTCATTCGCAAATACCACTATGAGGTTTGCTTGCTTACACAAACAGTCGACCCTCCTCCATAAGTACTCACCAAAGGGACGTTTCAAAATCTTTGGTTATCCAAGCATGCCCTCGTCATCCATATACACCAGCGCCGCGAGAAATGTTGTTTAGTTTCGCCTTGTTCTAACCAGCGGTCTCCTGCCTCGGGTGGAATATATGGCCTAGCTATCTGGACCTTACCTAAGAAACTGGCCTAGATCATGTACCACTGCACCATCCAACCATGGCGGTGTTTATGGTGCCGCCTGCACTCTCGCAGCCGAAGCCTTGGCACGAACTGAGCTCAATTTGTAAAATCTCCTAGGCAAAATTCGAAATTTAACGCCCGTCGAGATTGTATCATCCTCTGCACCATCTTATCAACTTGTCCTGATCCCTCTCACGTCCATCCTAAAGAACTGTCTTCCAGATTTGTGCGCCGCGCTTTGCTTCCTCCATCGGGTGTAAATATCGGCGTGGGCGTGTATCTGGCGACCAGCTGAGGCCAGAGAAAGTCGATAGGAGGTGTGGTGATTGGAATGAGAGTGTACCAGGTCGTACTTGTAGTCTTGATGAGACTAAGATAGGAACCGAACTCGTTGGGAGTGAAAATTTGACGTGGTGGAGTATTGTGAATAATTGCCTCGTGGGCCAACCTGTTCGGTATCGCGAAATTTGACTGAATTTGGCTCTGGGAGTCAAGTCAGTTTCATTGTCACCATAAGCGTAGGCTAGATTTAGATACCTCTGGATGTGTATAAGTAGTAGAGTAGACTTGCAGGTAGTTTGCTTCTACATAGATGAATTATAGCTTCACCTTTCAATCATAAAAATGCCTATTCGCTTTCTATATATGAACTATGACATGGTAGATCTAGTAGCTGGTGCATAGGCAGTTATTATGGCAGCTTGAAGGAGATACAGTCTCTATATTATTGTCATTAGGAGAGTAACATGACTGCATTACAACAAACTGTTCTCATTAGAATAAAGTGCACATGCGCCATGAGATATGATTGACCTAGATCATCACTCATTGGTATGACAAAGTATATGCCAATAGATTCCTTATGGTATCTATTGGCGCTAGGATCTCTCACATCCTTCCTTTCTTGGTTAGACAAGGACATGTGTTGGAACATCCACTGGTGCGCAGAAACCACCTTACTCACGTATATAGAGGAAGGTCCTGTCACGTAGATAACTTAAACAATTTATACCATAGAAAGTTTAAACAATCTCCATATTATTCACACACTTGAGAATACCAGGGACCATCCTCAAGCTCGTCTATCGATCCATGTCCTAAGAGTATTACTCACGAACTTTACTTCTCTTAAAGCCATAGCTACCTCCTTCCATACCTTCATGCTAACGTTACGTCATTTCAGCTCAGCATAGACTTTTAATGCACATAACGATATTACAAGTAGTAATGTGTGAATTATGAGAGATGGGTTGTTGATACTGGACAAATAGCATGGCTGCTTAGTTGGGAGCACACTTTGGTGAGCTGCATACTGGTTACGTTGTGGATCCTGCATTCCAAGTCCGAGCGAAACGCCAAGTCTCACGGCAAGTGAGCCGCCGAAGTCCCGATCCTAGGCGAGCCGCCGAGTTTGAGGTTCCGTCAAGAATGCGCCCCTCGCATTCTTTGGCCACAATTCGGGCGGCTAAGCACCTCACTCCTCCTCTACTGTATTCTGATAGTTTACTTTTCATGTATCATTGCTAGTTACATTATCTGGAGTATGGAGGATTTCATGTATTTAAGGAGGAGTTAGAATGTTAATAGAAATACAAGTTTACACCTAGTCTCAAGCTTTATACACATATAGATTGTCGTAGTCGGAGCCACGAGACATCTGTGAATTTCACAGTCAACAATTGTTATTTTATTCTTACTAACGTGGACAAGAAACCTCAACGTGATCGGTCTACAAGCGAACAAGCTAGGGGATAAGGGTCGAGCTTCCCCCAATCTCTAACAAATCATATATCATAGTAAATTCACTTGTTAGAATTCAGAATAATTGGGGCTATCAATTGGGCCACGTTGCTAATATACACGTGACTGCAAATTCTGTATCAAGTTTCACTTCGGTAGTTACTTGAATCAATGCGTTCTACAACCTCAATGACTGAGGGGTCATTATTTCCTTAATAATTCTGCATATTAATGAAAATATCTCTCAACAAACTATCTTAGCAGTTCCAGCGCAAGTGTACATTCCCAAATCATATACCAATCATAATACCATTGTGTATCAAGCGCAACCCTTCAACCATCTTTTCTATCCATTTTCAATCTTCCAACACATCATAGAGTGCGAAGTATCTCTGCTAGTATCAATCAATCATATATAGGCATAGTTTTTATAGAACATACTCCAACTACACACGAGCAAAAACGTCAGTATTAAGCCTCTAGTCGACCTTGTATTATAATAACGGTCCCCCAAAGACCAAGATCGGGTCTTTGTATATTATGACTTGGCTTCCTCCTCACGGGTATACCAAGCATCGTAACTTTATAGTGGGAGATTGCCAATTTTTGATGAGGTAAATTCCCGTTTGTAGTCGGTGCGACGACTTATTCAGTCGTTGAGGCGAGGTGGTTTAAGGTAAAGTTAAGGGTTCGTGTGCGGAGGATAGAGGCGACATTGATGAGAAGTGATCAATTTTAGATGTAGTTGACATTGCTTTCGACTTTAATTCGGATGCGATTTTCCTGCTCAGTTCTAACGATGCAGAGCACTCTAAGCAATTACATCGGCACCTCTGGAAACTGGAGAATCTGTCTTTGCCGGCGCAAACGGCAAAAATCTTCTCAAATAAACTAGCTTAACTACCTTCGTCCTAGACCACATCCAAGCCCGGCAGCTTAAGTGTGTGTGTGTGTTTGTGTTTATTGTGCTACTTGAGTCTATGACTATCTAGCACATTGGGCTCCTCTCTGACCCAGGCCAAACCTTGTATAGTGCTCCTATCCTCTTTTGTTACTTGAAAGATTATTGATATATTCCCCTTGATGAATAGCCATTCAGCTCAGTATTTACCCGTGGAATTCAGCCACCTTTTCCATCCGGCAGCTTAAGTTTCGGTAAGAGAATAAGATCCGGTGGCGAAAAATATTGTTTAGGTCAAGGACAGTATCAAAACCGTCAAAAATGCCTCTCGTGTAATATTTTAGCACGTAATCGATAACATCTCGGCAGCACTTCGCAGAAAAGTGGGGTAATCTAGAGCCCTTTAGGATGTAGACTATTCGATGTCGCAAGAATCTACGGAAAGCGCATATCCGTTATTGTATCTAAGTTTCATCTAGAGCTACAATGTGTGACATCTCAAATTTCATATCCCATTGATCAATATTTGTCATGATGGCAAGAAGAAAGCGATGGATTAGCTCGATCCAGCCATATTGGTGCTCTAAACTGGCCTCAAACTTGTGTATAAGAGCTCTATTCTCTACTCGGGTTTTGAAATGATCATAAAAATCTTTCCCAGCTCATTAAGCACTTCTGACTTTACAAATTTCGTTCAGCTTTCATAACACTTAGTAATACGTCATAAGTATAATACTCATCATACTTAGCAAGCCTCAGATATTCATCGATATGCCAGCCGCATCAAAGTTCCTCTTCTTCTTCTTCTCTGTCTCCATATTTATAATCATACTCTTTTCAGTCGCTACCCAAGCACGCATTGTCCATCTTCCAGGAGCTGAAGCGATGGAAAAAATTAGCTCTGATCCTGAACACGTCGGCTTTCGATGTCTTTCAAGGCGGTACAGAATGCCTGCTGTCAGAAGAGCTGTTGATCTCGTCTGCCCTCAGAACAAAAACGGGACCAAATCGACCATCAAGACATACCCTGCAACAAAACATTACAGGCTTCCCAAGGATGCGAGAATGGTGCGGGTAGATGAGGAATTTTCTGGTGAGACTAAATTCCCTCTCGCACTTGACTCAATCAACGATTCGAAATTTGTTTATTCCTAAACCTCTAGCTTAAAGCATGAGCGGGCAAGATTGCGGATTCTGAATAATCATCACACTTTTTGAATATGACTAACCATGAAATTAGAGGAGAAATTCTTCGATTATGTCATTTTTGTGCCAAAAGGTTGCAAGGTTGTTGGTCTTGTTCATCGAAAGAACGACCAAAAACACTGGCGCTTTAAGCTTTGTGAACGTACATCATAGATTTTAAATTGTAACAATCGGTGAGTTTAGGTATGGGACCGATCTTTATCTTTAATTCTAACATTTGTCTCATCTAGTCAAGAAAGAGAACAAATCCATGCCGTTTCACTCCTTATGGATTTCATTTGTGAAAGCTGCAGAGAGGTTTATCTGAGATAGCAATTCCTTCAATAGCTTCGATGACATTAATTTTATTGTTTTTTTTTCAGTCTAGTTTTGGGAGATTTGTGATCTGAATCAGGGTAACATAGGAGTTTGGGCCTAGCATGATGTGAGCGGCCGAAACTATATTCGGTCTTGCGTTATTCTCATTTGCTTTGATTCCCATTTTAGAAACAAAAAAACAACAGGAATCATGAACTTATTGAACTACTTGATCCATTGAAACTCCTCACCCTGTCGAGCCTAAATTTGGTTTTATCTTTTCTGTAGAAGAAGCCGTTGTCAAGGGATAAATTCTGCTTTTTTGAATCGTAGTGACTGTCTACACTATCTTCGTAAAATATGACACTGTCCGCAACTGACTTTACCCCCCTTAATCTGATCATCGCCTTTTTCACATTATATCTTTGGGTGGTGAGAAAATATTGTTTGCCGTTGAAGTTAGTTCTCTAATGCGATACTTGTGTCTAGAACTACACAAAGTTGAAAGAACAGTCGGGATTTGTAGTATAAATCAAGTTATTATAGATAAAGCAAATCGGTAAGAGGTGAAATTGATTTTGAAGTTGCTTGTTATCCTTGGTTGTCGAAATAAGCTGTTAATGTCTGTCAAGCTTCGAGAATCCGATTCTTTGATTTCTTATCTGCATAAAATAGACTTGAACGAAATAACTAGGAATAGTCGTGGAAGGGAAAGGAGAGAGATGAGAGTGGTCAACAGTTGTCTACTCATTTCAGAGAACGATGATTTATCCGGGAGCTTATTATTTTGATTACCTCTTCATCTACTTTTTGTTGCTTACCTTTTGGTAACATTTCGATTCGAAATAAAAATTAGCATATGTATCTTAGAGGTTTTGAGGAATCATAGAAATCCTCTACTTTTCCCGCTTCACTGCGAGCTTAGCTCTATCAAATCACGAGTATTCTAGGCTGGATCATTGGGCATAAAATCGAATCCAGGTTTATTCTGTTTGGTGAATTGTGTAAACTAGGGCAAAGAATAGTTCTAGGAATAGTGATGAGCTAAATGGACATTGAAGATGACATATCACTGTGTATAGTCGTTGTCAACGAGATAGTACGACTACGAGTGATAGCGATAGTGAATGTATCCAATTTTGTTAAATAAGGGACCACTAATTTATCCTGACGCTTCCAATGATAAAGATATGGTCACTTAAGATCATAGGTCAAAGTCTAGCACAATGAATGCGTACCGAAAGACCCGGCGATTCAGATTCCAGGCGCATAATGAAAAAATGTCTGAGATGACCCCCATGAGCCTCCTGCCCATATTGTAGAGTTCGAAGGGCCGAAACGGAGCAACTCTTTTGTTCTCACCTCGATGAGGGCCTCCAAAGGTTATCGTGATCTCTGTCAGCATTATTCGCAATACAATCCCTCGTCACCATTCCGTGATGTTCATCACAATCACATTTGATGCTACTTTCGAAGCCCAACTCATCACTCACCCCTGGTTATGGAGAAGGAGCCACTCGAGGAGTCCCAGGAGCATGTCCAGCACCTGATACGGCGATAGTGTAATGGATGAAATTGGCCTCTCACTATACAAGGAAGACAGATTTATATGGATCTAAGCATTTCAAGTGGCTTCAATGTCAAGGCTGTACATTGTTGGTGCTGCTGGATATTTCATGATTTTTCCTACGCACGCAGTCTCTGTTGCTGCTGCATTTATTTTACTAGATAGAAGGTTCTGTGGAAATGTGGCTGAATCCTAGGTATAAATACTGAGCTGAATGGCTATCGAGTTTCTTCCGAATTTGTATTATATTCAGCTATATAGCTATTACAATGACTTTCCATCAGGAGCATTACATCCAAGATCTTTCTTCGTAACAAAAGATGATATAAGCAATGCACCAGGTGTGGTCTAGGTCTGAGAGAATTCCAATGAACTAAATAGTCATTGACTTTCATAGAACGAAAGTAGCTAAACCACTCAGCCAATCTTTACAGTTCCGAATATCACAAAATGGGCAATGAGATGGCCTATGAACCAACAGAGCGCTTGCAGATTATGCCATTCAGCACATGCATTTCCTTGAGTTAAGTAGTTATTTTAAATGGTATTTATAGTCGGGCACTTAAGGCAGCGGTATTGGAAACTTAACTCGGACCAAACGGCTGATTGCGGCTCAGATAATACAATCGAGGTGGCGAGATCTTGGCGGTTGTAAGTTTATTTTTTCGTTTTATTGTCCTCTCTGAGTCTATGACTATGTAAGACATACAGGTCCTCTCTGCCCACAGGCCAAGGATACTTATGCAAGTGTTATATTCCCTTCTATGCCTTCCATATAGCTCCCCTCAAACAGTGACGCCCCTCACAAGTCCTCAT